AAGAAAGAAAAAAAGAAACCAACACATTTCAGACCCAAATGAAGCATGAAAAATACTCAACTTAAAATAAAGACTTAAAAAAGCATTAGTAGTTCTTTCCTTTGTAGGGAAGCTGTCTGTAAGATTTCAACTTCAAGACTTCGATTTGGATCCTGCTCTACTCCTTCCAGAGACAGTTTTCCAGACAAACCCAGCTGTTCTGGGGAGGAACCCAGGGGAAGTGTCCAGTCCCCTTCATAGGCCCAGGACAGATACCCCACCAGAGCCAGAGCACCCCTTCTCAAGACACAGTCAGCCCGACTCATTTTATTGATCAGAACTAACAAAGTCTCCACATTCCTAAGTCCAATGAAATCATTTAAAACCAAACTCTGATTTTTTTTTCTTTTTCTTTTTTTCTTTTTTTTTTTTTTTTTTGGTGGGGGATGGGGCTGGGAAGACACTGGGAACTGAACCCAGTGCTTCAAGTATGCTAGGCAAGTGCTCTACTATTTAGATACACCTAAAAATCCTTCTGATTGATTTTGAAAGTTTCAAATGTCTTCTCTCCCCTGATTGAGGAAGCTTATTTCCTAAAGCAATAGGTCTCACCACTGAGACAGCATCAGAATCCTCAGAGGAACTTGTTAAAATGCCAGTATCTACGTTATGTCATCTCACTTGCATTCTGGTCCCATTATCCTTGACTGCATTCTAACAAGCTCCCAAGACAATTCTGATACTGGAAGCCCCTGAACATCACTTTGAGAAACCACCCTTGGAAGGAAAAGGTACAATAAATGGTACTGCTCATTCACCCAGCTGTATCCCTGAGTTAATAACTAGCATAATGTCCCAGGTACCTCAGGAGATCCAGAGATGGATGGTTGGAGGTGGGGAGAGAAGGAAGGGCTGCACAAAAAAGATGGACACAGGCCAAGAGAGTTCCCAATTAACCAAGCAAAACAGGCTGCAAAAAAGCATTGCATTTCTTATAAAAACGTCTCAGAAAAATGTGTCAATCCAAGGCTGAGTAATTTTTAACAAGGAATTCTCTAAGGGACAGCAGAGCATCTGTAACTTGGAAGACATGATCACAGGACAGACAGACCAGATATGGGCTTAGGAGCCATGAGTTGCAAGTGAATGAAAATGCATCCAATTCAGAATCAAATAAACGCGCCTGGGCCCACAGCCAAGAAGAATTCTTGGACTGGACTTTTATCAGGGACCTAAATTTTAACCAGCTGGAACTTTTTTTTTTTCCTTCCAAGTACCACCCTATTGCTTTCTACCTTTTGAGATGAAGTATTTGCCTTAAATGGGAAACTTGCACATCATTGTAAAGATGATGCCAGAATCCTGGTTTCCTGAATTGCTGAAGGTGCAAGCTTTGTGGAGGGTAGAAACTGTTTCAGGCATAACATACAAGAAAAGGTAAGAAATCAAGAAATGTTCCTTCCTCCCCTACTGCAGGAAAAGCTATTAAATAAAAATCTTTAGGAGCAGATTCCTAACTCCTTGTTCCAAAAATAGGCTTCTCAACCAGCAAGACTAGGAGAGATGGGGGAACCTTGGTGCAAGTGAATGATATAATTACAGTTACCCATCACAAACAAAGTCATCCCACTATTAAGAAACAAGAATTAAAAGCCAGTGTAAATGAAGGGGCCAGCCCGTCTGGAAGTTTTACAAATTGTTACTTCTCTGAGAAAACAGCATTTATTACTCAAAGAGCAACTTTACCTGGCAAGGGCCATAAGAGATTTTTTTTCTAGGAATTGAGGAAGTGTGCCCACAACTCATTTCCCAAACTCTGAGCTGTGTTCAAGATGGTATCAGTCTCTTAATTGCCCCACAAATAATAGAGAGGTTGTGAAACCTGACCACTTAAACCAGGCCAGCTCTTGGCTCCTCTGAGAACAGCTTGAAGGGTCTGTTAGCAGAGCTGCTGAGGGCAGACAGACGGGTAAGTGGGCGGGTCGGTGGGCAGGCTGGCTAGCTACAGCTACCTCGAACATCCTGGGAAAATTTCCATTCCTACAGGGGCAAGGGTTCATGAAAAAGTGCTCCCTTGAAGAACAAGGGGTTCACTCACTCAACTGGTCTTCTACACCTAGATCTTGCCCCTCCTTCAGGACTCATTTCTGTAACTTGTTGTCCCCTCAGGTTCTGAGTGAAACTCAGATCCACAGGAAGCCCTCTCCTGTGTGTATTACATATAATTGACCCTTACATACCCATATTAGACTATAAACAATCCCAGAGCTGAGGCTGACATCTACAGGGACCCAGACATGAATCAAACATCTAAGTCTCTGTAAACCAGTATTACTGGAGCCCCATGCCAGCAACTGCAACTTCTGGGAAACCTTACCTAGGGTGGTAGGGGTAGGGAAGGCTTCCTGCAGGAAGTGATGCTAGAGTTGAAAGGGGAAACTGAGGAGGCACAGAGAAAAGGAACAAAGGCAGAAATAGATGCAAAGGCCTTCTATGGAGAGGACATAGGCACCTGGTGCTGAGATCTCTCTCCACACTTCGTAAAATCTATCTCAAAACAGGACTTAGCCTATAATCCCAGCAAGTCAGGAGGCTGAGGCAGAAGGATTGCAAGGAACTTAGCAAGACCCTGTCTTGAAAAAATTTAAAAAAAAAAAAGGCTGGGGGTATAGTTTAGTGATACAGCGCCCCTGTGTTAAACCCTACAAAAGTAGGAGGGAAGATTCAGCAGAAAGGCTGCAGGGTCTAATTGGGTTCAACCTACCTTTACAGGGTTCCCAGGTTCTGAAGCCACCAACAAACTAGTCTAAAGACACAGGGTGAACAAATACTAGCTAAGCAGTCTGGTGAAAACCAAAGAATAAGCACCTGCATGAGAAAGTCAAAGATATGGCATTCCTCGAGGGCTTCCCTGGTGAAATCACCTGAGCCAAGTATTAAGCTTGGCAAGGGATTCTTATGAAGGGAAAGGCATCCAGGGAGGAGGGGAAGGTATGCCTTTGTAAAAAGGCATCAGGAGTTAGGGAACAGGGAGGGGGATGTAATGAATGAGGTTGCAAGTATGCAAACAGGATGGGTAAACAGGGTCCACAGGATACAGCAGATGGAAGTTTGAGAAGAGACGTGGAGTCACGGCAAAAGCTGTTGAGAGGATCACTCCCAATAAGGCTCTGCAGAAGGGGAAAGGAGGTCAGCATTAGAGAGAGGTGACTGAGATGAGAACCACCATTAATTCTGTTGGGGGTACAGATTTGGGGAGGGCCACACATTCCCACAGGTACAGAAAACAAAACCACCATCTTGGCTTCTTCAGAGACTACCATCCCCACAACATTAAAACTTCATAAGCTGTGTATACTGGCACATGAAGCCAACTAGGCAACAGCAGAAAAACAGCAAACTGGACTGATCCACCCAAACCATGAGTGACATGTAAACTCAGAATAAAATACCTGTGATGCTGTTACAGTTAGTCAAAAGCCAAAATCTGTAAAGATCCAAAATTTTAGCAGGATGGATAACACTAAACAGACTTAAGAAAACTTGGTATCTATTAGAAAAAGAGCAGTGATGTTTTACAATAGAACAAAATAAGAAAAAGTTTTTTCCTTAAATGGGAAGGAATGGTAGAATTTACGTTAAATTCACTAAGGGTGGGAAAAGTCAGGTACATCAGCTATTGGGGCTAGGGACATCCCAGCTAATTGGCTCATACCTGGTTTTCTACACAATTTCTCTATATGTGTGGGGCAAGTGAGCAGGAAGCATTAACCTGTGCCCCTGGGCAAGGTGTCATGGCCTACCTCTTATCTGTGCTGAGGCTTTTCACAGTCTCCCAGAAAAGGTATGCCAACCTTGGTCTATAACTACCTCCATACACATCCCTGGGACTAGGGAAAACAGAAATCACTCATTTCCTCCCACTTTCCAGATGAGTAAACAGAGGCTTTTGGCGCCTAGGAACAGAGCCAAAGTCAGGTACCTGGCTGTCAGAGTGCTAAGCCTGTGTTCTCTTTGGAAGTTTTAAAGCGTGAGTGCCCCTACCCGGCGGCGGCCCTAGCCTCTGTGGAAGGCACTGACCAGACAATAGGAATCTCCAGGTCCCAGGGCCTCCCAAGCTCAAAAGCCGACCCTGGGTTGGGAGGCAGTGTCCCGGCGCACATCTTTCATCCCCAAAGCCCCACCGCCTTTACAGCGTCAAAGGAGTGTCCCGTTTGGGGAAAAGGGTTCCAACTACACGGAGAAAGTCTGGGCATTCTCCTCTCCTCACGGGCACCTGACTGAGGTGACAAACTCTTACTGCCCTTTCTTTGACCATAAAAAAACACCCTCAACTCGGGTCTGGGGCAGAGATGGGGATTCGGGTAACAACCGTGAGATCATTCGTGAGACAAAAAGTTAAACGGGGAAGCAAAGTTTCTCAGGAAGTCTGGAGTCCGAAATGGGGTGGGAGTAGGATGACGACCCTAGGCTAGAAGGAACAAAGGGAACACAACAGATGGGTGCATCGTTCGCCAGCGCTCCAGGTGCCCTCTCTGCCTGCCCTGAGCCTTTGCAGAGCTGGGAACTGGAGGTCCGGGAGAACCCCACATCCTCTCTCCTCTCTGAAGCTCCCCGTCATGCAGACTGTAAGGGGATCCCAGCTCCAGACGGCGCAGCCCTGGGACCTAGGGCCGAGAACAAAGGGTGGGGCGCACTCCCCCCCCCCGCCTCGTCGCCCCCTCACACCCGCCCTCTAGAATCGGACCCCAGCCATCGGCCGCGCCTCATTAGCAACACAAAGCCAGAGGTCGGGCGGCCCCTTTCATCCCGGCTGGGGCGGGCGGACGCGCGACCAAAGGGGAGAAGCGAGGACAGCTGAAGAAGCTCTAGGACCAGGATCCTGGCGGCAGACTGGACCGAGAGCAAATAGGTCGCCCGGGCTTGTCTGCCCGCGAGCACCTGTGCGCGCCGCGCCCCTGCCTCTCCCAGCGCCCCCTACTAGTTTGGAGACCTCGAGAAACCCGCCGTCCTCGCCTTACCCTCCAGCCACAGGTGTCGGCGCCCCTCGAGCGGCCGGAGCCTCCCGCGGCCACAGCCAGTTGCGAGCCATTGAGGCAGGCATTGACAGTGAAGAAGACAGAACAGAGCTGCAGCCACGGGGCCATGGCCGTGCGCTCGCCCAGCCGGGCCCTTCTCCTAGCCCCAGCCGCCTGCCGCTGACCAGCCCCGAGTGGGCGGTGGCAGCGGCGGGGAGCGTGGCGCACTGAGCATGCGCCGGCGGCCTACGCCCCGCCTCTTCCCTCGAGGTCCCGCCCCCAGCCTCAGTTCTTGCGTACAGATCCTGCCTCTCTAGACTGGCCATCCCGTCTTGGCTCGCCCTTCTGGTCACTACCAAACTGCTGCTGAGTCTCTGGCAATTGCAGGTTTATTCCCCCTCGCCTAAGAATTTTTTTTGTTTTTAAACACAGAGGATTTTTCCAAATGATGCCTGCTCCATGCAAAAATTTGGAAGAACGCAATGAACATAGTAATTTTAAAAATAATTTAATAAGCACCTGCTATGTGCCAGATCCCTTCTTGTGTCCTCCCAATCACATAAGGAAATGTTAGTATTATTGTTATCCCAGTTTTAGGAGTAGAAAAGTTAGCTCGACTTCAGATTTAGAGAAATCCTCACTCTACATTTACTACTGGGACCTCAGACAAATGACTTGCTTTCTCCACAGTACTGCTTCCCCCATAAGCCAGAATAATAAGGGTAAGAATACTCATCTGGGGAGGATTCTTTTGGTTAACATATAACAAGGGTTCGATAACTGCTCCAACCTATCATCAACTAACTTGCATAGATAGGGTCACTGAGCTAGTACCCATTAAACCTGAATTCAAAGTCAGATCTTATTGAAAACAATACTCTCGACAACTACAATTGTCAAATTTACCCTTGTGTAGTGGGTATTATTTCTGGAAGATGAAGCTGAGGTCCAGACAACTGGAGAAAACATTACACAGATTTTCACTAAAATCCTCCCACCTCTTTGCCTCATATCTAAACACTTAAGCCACATCACTTTGTCCCTCTGGGTTGCCCCCACCCTCATCTAGGCTACCACCTCCACCTCTGCAACAGCTTTCTGAATACTTTTTCTGCTTCCACTTGTATCCCTATATTCAATACATTTGTTCACACTGAAATCAGAGAGATCTTCTAAAAAAAGTAAATCACCCAGCAAATGGCACAGCTTAGTGACTTAGGAGGCTGAGGCAGAAGGATCACACATTAGAGGCCAAACTCAGCAACTTAGTGAGGCCCTGAGCAATCTAGTGAGACCCTGTTTCAAAATATAAAAAATGGAAGGAGCTCAGTGGAAAAACACCCTGGGTGCAATCCCCAGTACCAACAGTAAAATTTAAAATAAATAAATAATTTTTTAAAAGTAAATCAGACTACTGATTTCCCTTGATTAAAACTCTTCTGTGGGGCTGGAGATGTATCCTAGTGGTAGAGCACTTGCCTAGCATGTGCAAGGCCCTAGGTTCAACCCCCAGCACTGTAAAAACAAAACAAAACTCTTGTGTGGTAGTTTTGTTGATGTTGTTTGGCAATTTTGTTGTTTTTTGGGTTTTGGGTTTTTGACTAGGGATTGAGCCTAGGCGGCACTCTACCACAAAGCTAATCGCCAGGCCTTTAAATTTCATTTATTTTTCTGTATTTATTTACTTATTTTTGCCTTGCTGAGGATTGAACCCAGAGCCTCATGGATGCTAGGCAAATGCTCTGCCACTGGGTTACATCCTCAGGCCCTCTTTTGTTTTATTTTGAAACAGAGTCCTATTAAGTTACTCAGGTTGGCCTTGAACTTAACAATCCTTCTGCCTCAGTCTCCTGAGTTGCTGCTATTACAGATGTGTGCCACTGTGCCAGGCTCTGTGGTGGTTGTTCTTCAAAGGCTACTTAGAATAAAATCCACACTGGTCTCCTCTCCTACATCATCTTGTCTCTGACTTCACCATCTGGCTCCAACTACACTGATCTCCACCCTCCCACACATACACCTTGACTCAATCTTGGTCTAGCTGCTCAGTAAATGTTGGAAACTATCACCTTTGTCCATCCAACAAGGCAGCCTTCTCTACTCCATCTAGGGCCCAGAATCCCCTCTTCTTCTTGTCTGATGTGGACTAAGCTCACCTGCTTCTACCACAGCATTCAGGCACTTTCCATGATGGCTCCACACATACTACCACAACTTAGTACTTAAACCATTCACAGACTTTGAAGTGGTCCCAGCTTTGTCTGTGACCCTTATGTGAAAAAAGAGGACCTTTGGTAATACTGCAGAAGTCCTAGGGATTTGAATTCAAAATAGTTATCTGTGAAACCAGGGAGTAGGTCTGGTTGGAACTCTAGGGCTGGATACCACACACACACAAAAAAAAAAAACAAACAAACAAAAAAAAAAACAAACCACTGACATTATTGCTAGAGAATGAGAGAATGAATGGGTGGTCCTAGGTTCTCTAAACAGCAGCAACCACCCCAAGACCTGGGGATTTCCTGTCCATTTGCACAGCTGGACAGAAATATTTAAGTTTCCATCTCATTGCCAAGGCATTCAGAAATTCAGACAGATCCAGTGAAGGTGGGCACCACAACATTTTTGGTCATCCAGAAGGGCCATGGTCCACACAAGGCAGCTGTTGGAGTAGCCTTCTCTAAACAGACCTCAGGAAGCACATTTGTTGGCTCAGAGCTCTATCCATCCTCTCGAACACTTGGTATACCTCTCTGTGTCATTCTGAATCCATCACAGCTGAAGATGTCCAAGGTCAAGGTGCCATGGGCTGAGATATGGCCAGGGCTACTTGGGTGTTGAAAGACAAGGAAACCATGAGGCTACTGGCTCCTTATTCCATATGTATTCCTGATTAGATACACTCCCTAAATTATTAACCAATCCCATGGTGAGGAACTTCTATTATAATTAGTGATTTTAAAATATCCCCTGCACATTTATCTCAACACATTTATTCAACTCTTTTCTTAAGATACATTCCTAAAATTGGGATTGTTGAATTATGCACATCTAAAATTGCTGAACCGTTCAACATCTCATTGCCCTCTTAACTGCTTCTCTGGTTGCTAATGAGGTGGAAGTGTTCCCCTGTACTGATGGGCCATTTGCACTTCTTCCTTTGTTCAGGAGTTGGACTCTAAGAAAAGGAGTAGTACATGGAGCTTATGATAGAGGAAGAACCTTAAAGAGGGGATTGGGGAAAGGGGAACATTTGTATTTTTTTATTCACATCAGGTTTTATTCACATCACCACCTGACTTTGTGACAGGGCAGGCAAAGCCATACTCCCACTCCCTGTCTCCACTACTGTCGAATTTCTTCCCATCACCATTCACTGCAGAATCTGCCCACTGACAGTCACTGGGTACAGCCTGCAGAGTTCAGAGACTGCTTCAACTTTTCTACAGAGCCTAGAGGACACAAGGAAAAAGCCCCCATGTCTTGTCTGGAACACAGGATGACTTCTCTTAGGACCAAGAACCTAGAGACCCTCTATTTACCTTCTAGGAAAGTCCTGTGCAGGTGTGGAGGTGGGAGGGGAGCCACAGACATCAAAGGATCAAATTGGGTCAGGATATTAAGGCAACAAATTGACATTTGGCATCATCCTCCCATTTTGGTATTTTCTACTGATTCTTTTCATCTCCTCTTCTTTTCTTGACCCTTCAGAATATTTGAGGAGTGAGAGGAGGGCAGGGCTTCTGTAGGTATGTGTGAGCTTCTACTTAGAAGCTGAGATAAAAAGAAGATGCCAGATTCCAACATAATTCCAAGATTATCTACATGAACCATGGTTTCCCTTAGACCACTGTTAAACCTAGCTGTGCAGATGCCCAGAAGATGTGTCCAGGACATCCTTCACAAATATAATACCTGCTTTCACTCACCAGGGCCAGAACTGTCTTGTGGTCCAGTCACAATTTCAGCTACCATTCACCTCTCTGCCCTCAGCACTCTACTTGGGACATATCAGTGGGAAAAAAAAATTGTTACCACATCCCCCTGCTAGAACAAAGCTAAATATTAAAGATAAAAAAATCACCTTAAAATAAGCTGTTGATGAATTGCAAATATCTTTCTCCAATCTACCAAGAACCTAACCAGATAAGAAAAATCTATTATTACAAGGATTGAATTTTTTTAGGAATCCAATTATCCCATGAAACAAAATAAAGGATAAAAAGTGATCATGATGTCACGCATCATTTTTAGTCAAGAATAACTAAAGACAATTTTAATGAACAGTGGTTATATTCAGTGGACCAATATTCTAATTTATTTTTGGTATTGTGATAAAATAGTGCATGTATGTTTTCTGTACTAATCAAGGCATTAAAGGTGAAGGATGTCCCCAACTTCACTCCCAACCTCCTCAGCAGGTTGAGGTTGCAAGGTTTCCCAGGGCTTTAGGATGATCATATGTGAACTGGCATCTGCCTGCGAGTCCACCCCATTCCTCTGTAGGAACACCCCAAGACTGTCCCTTTGTCGGGATTGGCACCCAGCACCCAGCAGTCTTGGCTCCAATGGGGTAGGTGTGATTATTCCTACTTCAAAGATAAAAAGCCAAAATTCAGAGCTGGGATAGTGGCTCAGCGGTAAAGTGCTCCCCTAGCATTGGGCGGGACCCAGGTTCAATCCTCAGTACCACATATAAATAAAGGCATTGTGTTATGTCCATCTACACCTAAAAAATAAACGTCTTTATTTTTAAGCCAAAATTCAGCAAGGAGAAGTCTATCTGAAGTCACAGAGCTGAGGTTCAAACCAAGCCTCATCACCCTGCCTGGGATGGAAGTCCTCACACTCTTCTGATTCCTCCAAACCCTCCCTGAGTCCATAGCTTTCTTGAACCTTATCTTCCCACCGCCAGGACTGCCCAGAGACCGCCAGGGGGCGCGCACGGTCCAAGTCTGAGATCCCTAGACAACCCTGGACTGTGCGGATGGAGTCTAAGATGAAGTCCCCAGGGCAGGTGCAAGTATTCCGCTGTTATCCAGAGCCGGTGCTAAGTTTGGGAAGTGGGAAGTAGAGTTCAGGAGGCAGTAAGAAAATAGAATCAAATATGGGCTCTCAGCAGCCATGTGGTTTGGGGCAGCTCATCCTTTCTGGATGTCAGTTTTCACAGCTGCAACAAAAATGCAAAAGTAAGTGGGTTTTTGCAAAT